TGCTTCTGTCTCCGCACTGTTGTCGCCCTGTGATGACGTCAGCTATGCGGTTTCGTCGAGCGCGCTTTAGTCGAACACGGTTTTGTGGTGGAACCCTGCTCAACACATTACAGTATTCTGCAGAGCAGAACAATAGGATCTTTTTGGCTATACTCTGACAGATATTCAAATTAATAACTTAGAGGTAGCAGAGATACAAGGACACAACTCTTGATAAACTAGTTTTTTACAGATATCAGAAAAGCAGTAACTAGAGCAGAAGAGCAGCAACTATAAATGTAAGAATGCAGCCATCTCGTTCTCTTCCAAATCTTTGGTTTCTTTCTCTTTGCTTGTGCATCCTGACAGAGTGACAGTCCGTTACTTCTCTGGGGAAGGGGCAGCTGATACTCTGCACTCGTATTGTAATATAAGGCCATCATAATCATGGGTATGACTGGGCAATAGAAGCTCCACCCCTCTTCAACATGTGCCATCACTGTGGACACTCCTAGTAAAAGATGATTCTGCTTCTGACTTTCGTGCTTCTAGCTCTCACTAAAAGCAGCATCTTCTGTTAGTACTAGTCTTATGGATTTTTTCCCCACATCATTAGGTTTTCAATACTTGCTCAAAGAGTCTGCTTTCCACTTCTTTTAACAAACATTCCAGAGGTGGGTTCCTACCAGTTCGCACCTATTCGGTAGAACCGGTGCGTCAAATCTACCGAAACGGTTAGAAGAGGTTCCACCAGTGGACTTGGAAAGCAGGCCACACCTACAGAAGGTGTTCCAAAAAATTTTGAAACCCACCACTGAAACATTCATTCCTTGACACAGACATATAATGTTATATTCTACCCAGGACCATAATCAGGACAAGCACTGGGACTGCAGTCAAATATTACCGTATACATCAATGGGAAAAGGCAAAGATAGAGGAAAAAAACAGGGCAGAAAGGAATTGTTTCAAAACACTGTTACTACAGTATGTTTGTATTTCATGTAGAAATTTGCTGAAAAGCAAGTGTGTTTTTTGGAGACAAAAATAAACTAAGAGTGGTTTTAAGCTTCACAGTAAGCAAATCTAAGGAACAGGGAACAAAATTATGCTGAATCCCTCGATTTTCTTTTATTGAAAGAAACCCCAAATCTTCTGCTACCAGTGGATTTATTTTAAACATTCTTAGAGTTACTTTACCTGGGCAGAGCAGTGATTTTGCCCCATTTTTCTACACAGAATCTTCTTGGTCCATTGCTTCCTCTCAAAGAAGCAAAACCTTCATAAGGTATACTCGATGTACCTGTAACAAACTGGAAAACAACATAAAACGCTGTAACTATTTATTATTGAAAA